GTTTAGGATTTAGGGTTTAGGGTTTGGGGTTTAGGGTTTAGGGTTTGGGGTTTAGGACTTGGGATTTAGGGTTTAGGGTTTAGGGTTTAGGGTTTAGGGTTTAGGGTTTGGGGTTTTAGGGTTTAGGGTTCGGGGGTTTAGGGGTTTAGGGTTTAGGGGTTTAGGGTTTAGGGTTTAGGGTTTAGGGTTTAGGCTTTAGGGTTTGGGGTTTAGGGTTTACTTCGTAGCTGAGTAGGTAACCTTTAACCTTTTGGGGTTTGTGTAGAATCCTATCATCATGACTGAAGACGTTCACCTTTTTTTGGGCCAGGGTGCTTAGCCCCTAACTCTCTTAAGGCCTTCTCCAAAGGGTCCCAGGTGATGCTTGCCCAAATCATCATAGTAGTTCCTAATATAGAAATCTTACATTCTATTTTATAGGTACTTAGGACCCTTTGGGGTTCCTCATAGAACCTTATAGGAAGGGTTTAGGTTTTAGGGGTTTAGGGTTGAAGGGTTTAGGGGTTAGGGTTTAGGGTTTAGGGTTTAGGGTTTAGGGTTGAAGGGTTTAGGGTTTAGGGTTTAGGGTTTAGGGTTGAAGGATTTAGGGTTTAGGGTTTAGGTTTCAGGGACCCATGCACCAAACAAGTAGGGCCCTTTGGGAAGAAGCCTTGGAAGCCTCGCTCTAAAGCCCGCAAACCCTGAAAGGAGCCCTTAAGAAAATCCCTTAAAGGAAACCAAAGCCCTAAACTGCAACGCCCTAAACCCCTAAACCCCTGAACCCTTAAACCCAAAACCCAAAATCTTGATGAAAACAAAGGTAAACCCGTAAACACAAGTTCTAAAGCCTTAAAACCAAGCCCTCAACCCTTGAAGACGACAAGCCCTGCACCCTAAGAAGCAGAATCCCTTGAAGGAACCCAAAACCCTAAACCTGTAACCCCCTAAATCCCTATGAACCTTAACCCGAAACCCTAAACCCCTAAATCCCTATGAGCCTTAACCCAAAACCCTAAGAAGCAGGCCTCATCATCTCGCGCTCCAGCTCCCTTTGGCGCGCCGGGAGCTTTCGGCGACTACTACGCCGCCCACGTGGCTACGGCTCTCACGCCGGACGAGCTGCCCAGGCGTCTGCGTTTCAAAAGGGCTTTGGCTGGTTAA